ATAATCTATTGTAATCTACTTGTATAGGTACACGGATAACCAGAGAGCTCAAGATGCCATAAATATCACATTTTTTCATTGGGGAATTCACGGATGGATTGTCTACACCCTGCTTGGACTCCTCATGGCTTTCATAGCGTATAGAAAAGGGCTCCCGATGACCATTCGATCGTGTTTTTACCCTCTACTTGGCGACAGAATTTTCGGAGTTGTTGGCGATATTATTGACATACTTTCTGTCGTGTCAACCATGTTCGGCGTTGCGACAAACCTCGGGATTGGTGTCTTAACATTGAATTCTGGTTTGAATCGCATGCACAGTGGCGTTGAGGAAACAACAAATAATCAAATAATCATCATTTGGGCCGTCACGTGTCTCTCTACGATATCTGTCGTTTCCGGTCTCAAAGTTGGAATTCGTCGACTTAGTGAAGTTTGCTTTGGACTTGGAATATTTCTAATGCTGTTCGTCTTCTTTCATGATAACACCTGGTTTTTCCTCAATTTGTATGTTCAAAGCATAGGGTACTATTTCCAATATCTAGTGCAATATGCATTCCACACGGATGCCTTTGCGCAACTTGCTAATGCCCCGGATGGGAAGCAGGCGCCCAATTGGATGGCTGATTGGACAGTTTTCTCCTGGGGATGGTGGATTACATGGTCTCCTTTCGTTGGGATGTTCATTGCAAAAATATCTCGCGGTCGAACTGTGAGGAATTTTATCAACGCCACTCTTACAGCACCAATCCTTTATATATTCATTTGGTTTACCATTTTTGGTGGAGCCGGTTTGAAAATGGAGCGTGATGCGGCCATCGCTGGCATAAACTGCAGCTCGGAATTAGGAGGAACAAACGCAACAGAACCACTCAACAGGTTGTTTCGCTTGTCCTGTCGAACCGAAAGCCAAATGTATTTTGACGTTATCCAACAGTATGGAAACAACCTTGGAGGATTCTTAAAAGTCGTTTCCCTAATCAGTGCTGTGTTGTATTTTGTTACAAGTTCTGACAGTGGTTCGCTCGTAATTGATTGTCTTTCAGCGAACGGAAACCCTGACCCTCCCGTGATTCAGCGCGTCTTCTGGGCGTTCACCGAAGGAGCTTGCACCACGGCGCTCTTAAAAGCTGGTGGAGAGAAAGCGATTGGTGCTCTTCAGTCATTCGCCATTGCACTTGGCCTGCTCTATGCCTTCGTACTCAATCTAATGTGCTTGTCACTTTGGCGAACAATGCAAATGGAGGCTGGGGACTACGACCACCACAGGAACACATTCTCTTCCAGTCTCATTTCGGTATTTGACAAACCATCCTGGCGACGAGTCTTGGATATTCTGATCTGGATCGTGGCACCCTGGTGGCCTGCTGGCCATGCAGCAGGAATGCTTTATGTGAAAAGCCCCGTGCGCTATATGGTTGTCATGGCATCGCTGTTTTACGGCTGGGTGTTATTGGAAATCCTACAAGTTGTTGAACCTGGCCTGGCGTATGTCGGCTGGGTTGTTCTCATCTTTTTCTTCATATATTTAGCTTCAATCAGGCTTGCTATGCGTGAGTATTTTGAAATAAAATCTAGCACTATCGAAGATGCGATTCTCGTATCAGTTTTCTACCCCTTAGCCGTGGATCAAATGTATCGGCACATGCTTATCAAGGGGAAAAGTAAGAAAGATGATCCAGGAGTAGGATCCATTGATCTACAAGAAGTTTTCATAGATAAAGAGAACGAATCTCAACAAAAGCTAGAAATTGTTTAAGGGGATTTGGAAATAAATTTAAAATATGTTTTGCCTACTTTAAAAGAATATATGTTGGAGACTGACAGATATGTAATTTGAGTAGGGATTAATTACGGGGTAAATTAAATTAAGTTATTTCAATCCAATCGAACAAGGGAGTGGTGTTAGTGTGACGTTGACTACTACTAATTGATTACAAAGGCCAAACGTCGCCCGCTTGAATCATGCAATGCCGAGCTTTCTGTTAAATAATTCGTGAAAAATTATAGGAACGGCACCGAAGTTAGTTGAAATCAAATTAACTTGCCCGTCAGGCAAAAACTGATCCAGAAAATTATTTTTGTATACAGATTATACAAAATTATGATAATGATGCGTGTGTTTCCGCAGCATATTAGGCATTATTACACGTTTGATATAAGCGCTGAGAACAAACCTCGTCAAATTGCGCAAAAAAGCATTCCAAATTATCTTTGTTTTTGTTCGTTCCTGTTTTGGATTGTAACATGGACGTGTCCAAATACAAGCCAGTTTTCCCAGACCCCATGCAGTTAAAATATTTCCCACTGAATAATCCTACGCGGGTATATACCTTTATAAAGAGTGCGTGCTGTGTAATTGCGAAAAAAGCATCTTCCTGACTTGAACATACGTACGTGTATATCTTGTCAAAAAAGTTACGCCAGATCCTGTTTGGATCAGTTGTATAGATTAAAGGTAGTTGAGCGAGTTTTAACTTCTAACTATTAATTTGTGACAGGATTGACAAATCAGCATCAAGTATTTTTCAAAATAAGTACTTTTTAACTAATAACTTTTGTACAGCAAGACGTCAAAATTGCGTCATTGGTATTTACCAATACACCCTTTCGATAATTACGTCACAACATTATCGTTATTAAATTTAGAACCGCCTTAAATGAGATGGATTTAAAGTTTCACTCTCACGAGCCACGTGCGATGATGCAAAATATCCTTCTCCAACACATCCATGAAAAAGAACTTTTCGTTTTGATAAATAAATGTGGAAATAAGCCATTACTCGAAAAAAGGGGCTCCCATGCTTTAATGATAAATGCTAAGCCTCAAAGTGCATGTGTTGAAGAAGAGTGTTTTGTATCTTTGCACGTGGCTCGTGAGAGTAAAACTTGAAATCAATTTCAGTTAAGGTGGTTCTAAATGTAAAACGATAATGTTGTGACATACTATCGAAAGGGTCCATTGCAGTGGTCAATTGTATTTTTTTAAGGGCAATAGTATCAAAATATAAACCGATACTTTTATTCCCCTGAGATAAGTTAAACAAAATAAAGACATGTCGTTCTGATTTTTTTACGGCTGGATATTGACGACTTGTATTTCATCAGTGTCGTCATGGTGACGTGATGTTAGTAATTGTAAAGATCCAATGTAATAAATTATTTATCTGATCTTCTTTATTGTGGCGCCTCGTTGATGCCACCTCAGTTTATATCATTGTTATATTTTGTTCCATTGAGAAGAGCTACGGTACCGCACGTAGTGCTAATCTGCTATTCTCTCCTGCATCATTTTTGTATGCATGATTTTTGTATTTAATTAAACAGCACTGAAAACTGCAAATGTTTAGTCGACTGCCAGATCAACTTGAATTTTTTATATGAACTGAACTGTTGCTTGGATACATATATATTTTAACTTGTCGAACAAAAAAGAGTGAACAACGGACATAATAAGAACCTCATTCATTGACTTATAGGCTATCATAATTCCATATATTTGTTTACCTTTGGAGCAGGTGCAAGGGCTATCTATATAATAAGTGTCAAATGCATGTATGAGGAACTGAAAAATTAGATTTTCTAATTAAAATTTCAAGGAAGAACTATTTGAACAGCTCAGTACGTACAGCTTTAGGGTTCTATAAAGATAATCGATATAGCCGCACATTTTGTAAAACTGAACCGGTAAGTGTGCATGCGATTCTTATTTCACATTCTTTTTTTTATTCATAGAGCTAGAAGTCTACCTATATAATGGATAAATTAAATCTTTCAAACCAAGTCATTAATAAGAACTTCCAGCGATCAGATGCAGCAAATGTATATCTAGCTATGTAACATGTGCTTATAATTGAACTATAGAAGCTTGGCTTGGGTGTAAGCCGTAGGGTGATATGATTTCCAATGATATCTTTCGCCACTTATCATTCCGGCGCCCTGTTGTACTTGTATTTCCATATGAATTCTTAATTAGCTAAATAGCTTATCAAGTACGGCTGGCTAAACAATTTATAATACAACGGGCTTGAAGCACTCTAGCCCCACAGCTTTTTACCTCGAAACTTTGGTTACGTTAACGTTCATTTCACTTCTTGAAATGCGGACAACAAATTTCAAGGCCAATATAACTTTAGTTTAGGGCGATTAAAACAATCAGTCTCTTGGAGACAATAAATTCATTAAATTAGTAAAAAGTAGTAAAAGCACAGTTTTATAATTTCAGCACGAGTGCCGTTTCCATATGCAGAACAAAAATCATATCGGTACATGATACAGAGTCGTCTTTCCAGAAACAATGCATGGTTAGATTTACACTTATATCGCCGACCGGACAACGGCTGGTGGCAAATGCTTATTTTATCGGACTCGTTATGGGCAACTTGGCTTTCCATAAACCAGAGGATCAGAGACAATATAGAAGATTAGCAGCATCAAAATATTTGCTGCACTATTAAAGCTTAAAATCTGACCGCAAAACAGTTGGCGTGCATGTTACTGCTTATTTATAGACTCATTGGCTGGCAAAGTATTTATTGTCCATACTATTAATAATTTCACCATGCAGGTGCATGTTGCTTTTTTTTCGCACGATAGCAACTAATTGTCCCTGGCACAACTGGTCGAAAACCCTTATCTTCAAATTGCCGGCAAGGTCAGGACCAATTATTGGCATACGAAGTAGTCATAATAATATACATTGGAACTCTTCAGCTATCAGAAAATTCTCTCGATCTTATATTGAGAAGCTAAGTCATGCACAAACGATAATCTCGATCCCTTTTGAAGCCTAACGTCAATTTTCATGCAAAAAATTGATAACAATCCGAAGCCTACCAAATCGACACGTACCTAAATTAATATCAGTTCTCTAACACCGCCTACTTCAACCTAACTCTAACCTTATATCCTGAAAAAAATTTTTCAAACTGCCTAAATTAACACTTTCTGATCTTGGGCTGAATAAAGTTCTTTTAATACAATTTTTTTAGGACTGAAATATGTCACTTCAATCATTGCAAGCAGAATTCGACAATCGTTGTTGGGACACAGGACCACCAAAAGAACTATCATTTCTTACTTTATCGTTTTCATTTTTTTTCACACTACTCAACATCCCGGGAAATACTCTAGTGATCATTGTTGTCGCAAAGGATCCCCATAGGAATCTTCGTACCCCCTTTAACTACTTAATGTGTAACCTGGCCTTGGCGGATCTCATTGTGGGTTTAATATGTGACCCGATTTCAGTTTATATTCACTGGAAAGAAGTTACGGATTCAGAGGTAACCGAACAGGACTATCAGGTAAATCATCTGTCCTATTTCATCTCCTGTACAGCGTCGGTCCTCAGTCTTGCTGCAGTAGCTATAGAACGATACCTCGCTATCAGAGACCCGCATAACTACAGGAGCAAATGTACCGGAAAAAGAATCCTACTCACAATCGCCGGTATTTGGCTTTTCTCCCTTAGCCTACCGTGGATTTACTTAAATGTCGGGTTTATTGCATACGCTTTTATATTTGCCAACTCTGCAGTTGCAGTTGCAGTCTTCATAAGTTGCTTCACTTACGGCCTTTTTCTGAGGGCTTTTAAAAAGCGCTCAAGAAATAGCGAGGAACATCCGGCGGAAGACGATAATCATCGACAACCCAACGATCAAAATGAAGACACGCTATCAAGAAGAAACGCAAACACACGTAGAGAAAAGGCAGAGCAACTGGAACAGAGAATAACAAAAATGTTTTTAGTTGTACTCTTGGCTTTATTATGCTGCTACGTCCCTTCAACTGTGCTCATTTATGCATTGGGATTTTGCAAATCATGCAGCTGCGAAACTCTCCATTGGTTCAAAGATTTACAGCATCTGTTTGTGCTAGCTAACTCAAGCGTCAACTTCTTCTGCTACGCATTTAGATCACCGAGATTTCTCAGCGCATTTAAAACTATGCTTAAATGCAGGAGAGGAAATGTCTCACAGGAAGGAGTTGCATGATGGGAAGATAACATTGACAACAGTTGGATCGTTTTCAGAATTCGAACAAATTCCGTCACGCCCAAAATTGAAAATCCGTTTCAAATAAAAACACTTACAATAATCAAAACAATGTCGTGAACACGTCAAAGTGGCTGATGTAGTATAAAATTTAAAATATATTTCTAAAATAGCTTGTTTCTATCGGATGGCAAACAGCCTTAAGCCGCGGCTACACGGGCCATTTTCGTCGACGATTTTCTCTTTCTAGCGTATGTTTTGTGTGAATTATGTACAATGCGAATTATGCGAAATAAAGTAACCTACTCTGTTAAATTTACTTAATATAGCATACACCAAGAGAAGAAAATCGCCGCCAAAAATCGCCCGTGTAGTCGGGGCTTTAAACTGTAAATGACTATGTCCTGTTTCAAAGGAATTCAATATTTTGGTCAATTCGGGAAGGGAGCTAGAAAGCGGAACATTATTTTTTTTAAATTAGGACGATGCAATGAAAGCTAACTGATATAAAATGTGATTATGCGAAACTAAGGAATTTTTTAATTACTTTTTTGCAAATCACATATTGTGCTATTTATGGAAGTTGCTATCATCAAATAAGTGTATGTAACATACTTTTCAATTACTTGAAAACAAGACCGCGTTGCCAACAACCGATTTGATCACACGAATTATTTAATAGAAATTAGAATGCTTATAACATGTTTGTGTACAGAGAAGCAAGTTTGTCGGATTTTTCTAGTATGTGCCGAGTGAATGTATATATTAAGTTTGTTCATATAGTGCTATAGCGAGGCCTATATATGCATGTATAAGGTCAATTCGTTTAGAGTTTCTTAATTGTGGGTTAAATTAAACTGTGATGAGCTCGATGATCGCATGTCGTTTGACGTTGAAAGATTGAAAGTTCAAAAGACTTTTTCAACTTATTAAAGTCTGCTGCGGCCGGTTGTTCAAAAACCGGCTAGCTTAACCCAGGGTTAATTTAAAATCAGTTTTATTCAATTTTTTTAATCGCTTGTTTATGAAGTTGAACATATTTTTTCATAAATAGTTTGTCGATTAATAGAAGTCTTATTTTGTAAAGTCTTGAGACAAACAGCGGTGCAGGGGCATATAAACCAAAACAGCGGAGTAAGATTTTACACCTAGGGTTAGCGCTAACTCAGCTTTGAACAACTGGCGCCTGTCATAAAATTATGTGTATATATATATATATATATATATATATATATATATATATATATATATATGTATATAAATATATATATATATATATATATATATATATATATATATATATATATATATATATATATATATATATACAGTCGTTATCATTAAGGTTGTCACCTGGAAATATATATAAATACGTAAATATCGATCACGTGATTGTACTGCATACGTTAATTTTATGGGAAATCGTTGAAAATCTATCTTCAAAATTTCTCAAATGTCATGCTAAGGTGAAAAATACTGATAATAATATGGAAACAAGAGGTAAGTGAACAAAATAAGCCATGTTTAATGGTCACGTGATTGATATTTATATATTTGTATATATATTGACATGGACTACCTTAATGATAACGACTGTATATATATATATATATATATATATATATATATATATATATATATATATATATATATATTGAACATGATTTGCTCCAAAGTAAATTTGGAGTTGCAACACAAGTAATAATATAGGCAAAAATGTTCTCCGTGTTTACCATACTTACGCCCGTATTCAAAAAGCTCACTCACACTCACACTCATCGAGTGTGACATATAAATTTGGTTAATGCTGATCAATGAGAAAGTTCTCTCTGAATAGATGAAAAGATATAAGGTAAATCACTGAAAATCAAGCCCCTGTTCGGCCGAAAATACCGCCATTGAAACGTTATGAGAAGATTAAGATCTCCCACTCAATGAGTTTGAGTGTGAGTGAGCTTTTAGAATACAGGCGTTACCCTTGACGGGCATATTCAAACCTAAGAATGTAAATTTGTCCCTTTCCCTCACCAGCTCACTCATTACGAGTGCCTAGGCCTTGGGACCCTAGGAGGCGGTATATATATATATATATATATATATATAATATATATATATATATATATATATATATATATATATATATATATATATTGACTGCAGCCCCCGCTAAACGATTGTCTTATTTGTAAAACTCATTGGTTGCATTTCTACAGCGATATCTATACAACAGACTGATTTTTATCCGGCAACGGTCCGGCAATCCGGCACTCAATGGACATCATACATTCTTTGGATAACATCCACTTACGGTGCTATCAAATTCCCCCTACTCTTTTTATGACGCGCTTTTTATGATTTCGCTTTTTGAACTTTTTGAGTTCCACATGCGTACTATACCTTTCATTGGGCAACGCCATGCAGTCTATACTTATCTTTCGTTTATTCCGAATTATACGTTACACCCATTTAGTCCCACGCATCTGAAGTCTCAATGATGTCGGTTGTCTCAGGTTGTGCATTACAACAATTACAAGGCAATGCAACGAGGCGTTGACGAGATATTGTGAAGACCTTCTGTTGTTTATCCTTAGCTCTATTAAAATCGTTAAGTAGATCGAGCGTTTTTTGGGCCTCCCCAACGTGAATTTTGTCGGCCTTGTCGGCCACAGGCCCCTCAACAGAGTCCGCAGCGTATAAGTTGCTTCAACCAATGGGGTTAATGCGGCACTCTTGGATGCATTAATAACTAGGTGTACATTCATAGCGAGGGATCTTGTGCGAGAGATGGAAGGTGAGAACAGAGTGAGTGAAGCTATTTCGCGATGTCGAACGTTCAAAAGAAAGATCGGTCCATTTCAAATCAACTTAAATCCAGTGGTGTCGATTATTTCTGCTGTCATAATTTGGGGTCTAATGATCTGGTCGATTGTTGATACAGAACGTGCTTCGCGTGAAATGGGGAAAGGGAAAGCTTGGATCTCTGAAACGTTCACTTGGTTCTATATCATCACACAGGATGCGTGGTTCCTTTTCTTGATAATTGTGTATTTCTCAAAATATGGCAACATGAAGCTCGGCAGAGACGACGAAGAACCAGAATTCAGCGACGTATCGTACTTTACCATGTTGTTCTCGGCTGGTATTGGAATTGGATTGTTCTATTATGGTGTCGCTGAACCACTTTTTCATTATCATCCTGAGGAGGATTACGGAAACAGATTCTGGAACAGGTATGCCGTATTCCATTGCTTTGTCTGTATGTTGACGCTGTGCCAAATTTCCCATTTTCTTCATGCGTGCATTTAATTACGCCTTGGTTATAAAACCAAATAAACACGTTCAGGATACACCAAATCTACGATGCGGAATTAATATGCCGGAAACATTAGTCGTTAGTCTTGGGAACCCAGTTTTAATTTGTTGATATATACGGCTCTGACTTTGTTTACCAAAAACAGCTAAATTGGAAGTGGACAGAAATATTACTCGTAGATTTGGTTCGCTATTGTTATGTACCGTAGCATTGTACTGTGGAACTAAGATTTCGACACAAAGTGATATGAAGAATAGTGACTTAGTAATATCGTCTTATCATGAAATTATCAGACATAAGACATGCGGAATGTCACTAACTATAAATATTTTCTAGAATCACTGCGTTCTCGCGTGACGTTATTAAGTTGTTTTCTGAATCTATGTTGATATAAATTATATAAGATGCAATAGAGACCATGCAGACACCGCACCTCGAATAAAACACCCAGGGACCGGTTGTTCAAAAGCCACTTAGGGTCAAATATATCTTTTTTCATAAATATTTTCTAAAATTAAACTAAAATTTAACCCAAGGCCAAGGTTAGCGGTAACCTAACATTGAACAACTGGCCCAAGGATACCATGAGTTACCCAAAATAATTGGTAGAGGACAGTAAATTATCACGTTAAAGTTGTGCATGTCAACTTATCATGTTAAAAGTACCACGAGGTTAACGTTATAAAGGTACTGTGAAAGTACCTATGGGCACAGAACACTACCATGTACCATGACATAATTATTTTGACTTAATTACCTGTAGTATTGATAAATATATACAAATGCAATGACGAGACGCAACCGCTGGAGGCCCCGTTTTAATCCACTGCTTCATGATTCATCATTCATCTTTCATCAGCCCTCGCGTTCGCATGCTGTTCCACCACAGCGGTTCCACCGACAATAGACTGAATTTACCACTTTCTTAATGTAATCACGGTTAATAGAAAATACATGGTTTGTAGACCACATAAAACTACAATACAGCTCATTAACTATGTTGAGGTAGATTTATGCAAAAAATTATTCCTTTCTCATCACATATCTATTGTATTTGCACAGATAAACCGATAGCAATCTTATAATTAACATATTTTTCAAGTCAAGGTTGAAGAGCTTAGCAAGACGAATGCCGTTGGTACGTTTGGCTAAAATACAATAGACACGTGACGAGAAAGGAACCATTTTTTGCATAAACGTGGACAATAACATAGTTAATGAGTTGTATTGTGCTTTTATTTAGTCTCCAAACCATGTATTATCTATTAACTGAGATGTAATGTGATGCAGCCGTTTTTTAGCTGATAATTTCAGCAAGTATAAATTAAAGTTTATTGACTGATTCTGAATATATTCATTGCATAAATCAAATACTTTCTTCAGGAGATAAGATTTTACAAGATTTCTTATCTCCTGAAGATAATTCAGATTTAAATCGAAATATAGATTTAAAATTTGGTTGTGTATTTGTCAGACTTTTCTATTTACGCAATGAACCTTTATTTTGTAATGTGATGTGCCACGCTATTTATTTGCCTTTTCTACGTCTTTGAAATTCCCGTTTCCAATCAACAAAAGAAACAAGACCCAGACCGGATCTTGCAGGGTTAAAGTGTCAAAAAACATGCGACAAACGCAGAAAAGCTGGAGGTATTTAGACATGCAGGGGATATTCGAAACCACCATTTGTATCTGCAAACATTTTGTTGAGCCTGCGGTTACGCTTATATAGCGTGCACACTCCACACGTAAAAACTTTAGAAAACACAAACGATTGTGTTGTCAATACGAACACTGAACCGATCGATTCGGAAACGATACATAAATCGGTGAGATCTGATATCCACCCACTCACGACGCACTCAGTCAGACACACCAAAATCTCTGGCAGAGGACAGTAAATTATAACGTTAAAATTGTGCATGTCAACTTATCATGTTACAAGTGTCACGAGGTTAACGTTCCAGATAATGTGAAAAGACCTATGAGCACAGATCACACAGAATTAATATTCACCGTTCTATAGCGGTAAATACGGGGAAGGCGCTGTGCAAAAGGATGGCAGAATGTAATATTTACTGGAAAATGCCAAATACCATTATAATCTATTGTAATCTACTTGTATAGGTACACGGATAACCAGAGAGCTCAAGATGCCATAAATATCACATTTTTTCATTGGGGAATTCACGGATGGATTGTCTACACCTTGGTTGGACTCCTCATGGCTTTCATAGCGTATAGAAAAGGTCTCCCGATGACCATTCGATCGTGTTTTTACCCCCTACTTGGCGACAGAATTTTCGGAGTTGTTGGCGATATCATTGACATAATTTCTGTCGTGCCAACCATGTTCGGTATTGCGACAAGCCTCGGGATTGGTGTCTTAACATTGAATTCTGGTTTGAATCGCATGCACAGTGGCGTTGAGGAAACAACAAATAATCAAATAATCATCATTTGGGCCGTCACGTGTCTTGCTACGATATCGGTCGTTTCCGGTCTCAAAGTCGGAATTCGTCGACTTAGTGAAGTTTGCTTTGGACTTGGAATATTTCTAATGCTGTTCGTCTTCTTTCATGATAACACCTGGTTTTTCCTCAATTTGTATGTTCAAAGCATAGGGTACTATTTCCAATATCTAGTGCAATATGCATTCCACACGGATGCCTTTGCGCAACTTGCTAATGCCCCGGATGGGAAGCAGGCGCCCAATTGGATGGCTGATTGGACAGTTTTCTCCTGGGGATGGTGGATTACATGGTCGCCTTTTGTTGGGATGTTCATTGCAAAAATATCTCGCGGTCGAACTGTGAGGAATTTTATCAACGCCACTCTTACAGCACCAATCCTTTATATATTCATTTGGTTTACCATTTTTGGTGGAGCCGGTTTGAAAATGGAGCGTGATGCGGCCATCGCTGGCATAAACTGCAGCTCGGAATTAGGAGGAACAAACGCAACAGAACCACTCAACAGGTTGTTTCGCTTGTCCTGTCGAACCGAAAGCCAAATGTATTTCGACGTTATCCAACAGTATGGGAACAACCTTGGAGGATTCTTAAAAGTCGTTTCCCTAATCAGTGCTGTGTTGTATTTTGTAACAAGTTCCGACAGTGGTTCGCTCGTAATTGATTGTCTTACAGCAAACGGAAACCCCAATCCGCCCGTGATTCAGCGCGTCTTCTGGGCGTTCACCGAAGGAGCTTGTACCACGACGCTATTGAAAGCAGGTGGAACGAAAGCGATCGATGCTCTTCAGTCATTTGCCATTGCACTTGGCCTGCTCTATGCCGTCGTACTCAGTCTAATGTGCTTGTCACTTTGGCGAACAATGCAAATGGAGGCTGGGGACTACGACCATCACAAGAACACATTCTCTTCCAGTCTCATTTCGGTATTTGACAAACCATCCTGGCGACGAGTCTTGGATATTCTGATCTGGATCGTGGCACCCTGGTGGCCTGCTGGCCATGCAGCAGGAATGCTTTATATGAAAAGCCCCGTTTGTTATATGGTTGTCATGGCATCGCTGTTTTACGGCTGGGTGTTATTGGAAATCCTACAAGTTGTTGAACCTGGCCTGGCGTATGTCGGCTGGGTTGTTCTCATCTTTTTCTTCATATATTTAGCTTCAATCAGGCTTGCTATACGCGAGCATTTTGAAATAAAATCTAGCACCATCGAAGATGCGATTCTCGTATCAGTTTTCTACCCCTTAGCCGTGGATCAAATGTATCGGCACATGCTTATCAAGGGGAAAAGTAAGAAAGATGATCCAGGAGCAGGATCCGTTGATCTACAAGAAGTTTTCATAGATAAAGAGAACGAATCTCAACAAAACTAGAAATTGTTTAAGGAGATTTGGAAATAAATATAAAATATGTTTTGCCTACTTTAAAAGAATATATGTTGGAGACTGACGGATATCAATTATCATGTAATTTGAGTATGGATTAATTACGGGGAAAATTAAGTTATTTCAATCCAATCGTGGTGTTAGTGTGACGGTGACCACTATTAATTTTATACAAAAACCCAACGTCGCTCGCTTGAATCATGCAATGCCGAGCTTTCTGTTAAATAATTCGTAAAAAATTATATGAACGGCACCGAAGTTGGCTGAAATCAACTTGCCCGCAAAAATCCAGAAAATTATTTTTGTATACAGACTAAATAAAATTATGATAATGTGTTTCCGCAGCATATTAGACACCATTACAGTTTTTATATAAGCGCTGAGAACAAACCACGCCACATTGCGCAAAAAAGGATTCCAAATTATCTTTCTTTTTGTTCGTTCCTGCTTTGGGTTGTAACATGGACGTGTCCAAATATAAGCCAGTTTACCCAGACCCCAGTTAAAATATTTCCCACTGAATGATCCTACGCGAATATATACCTTTATAAAGAGTCCGCGCTTCGTATTTGCAAAGAAAGCATCTTCCTGACTTGAACATACATGTGTTTTGTCAAAAAAGTTACGCCGCCAGATCCTGTTTGGATCAGTTGTATAAATTAAAGGTAGTTGAGCGTGTTCTAACTTGTAACTATCAATTTATGACAGGATTGACAAATCAGCATCAAGTATTTTTCAAAATAACTACTTTTTAACTAATAACTTTTGTACTGCAAAACATCAAAATTGCGTCAGTGGTATATGAATACACCCTTTCGATAAATACGTCACAACATTATCGTTTTAAATTTAGAACCACCTTAAATGAAATGAATTTCAAGTTTTACTCTCACGAACCACGTGCGAAGATGCAAAACATCCTTCTCCAACACATGCATGAAAAAAAAACTTTTCGTTTTGATAAATAAGAATGGAAATAAGCTATTACTCGAAAAAAGGGGCTCCCATGCATTGTGGCCTAGTAGCCTTGTTTTAGTGATACGTCTTATTTCCACATTTATTGGCAAAGTGCATGTGTTGAAGAAGGATGTTTTGTATTGAGTAAAACTTGTAAAACGATAATGTTGTGAAAGGGTCTATTGCAGTGGTCAATTGTATTTTCCAACAGTAATAGTAGCAAAATATAAAAAGATACTTTATTCCATTGAGAGAAGTCAAACAAAATAAAGTCATGTCGTTCTGATTTTTTTAAGGCTGGATATTGTATTTGATCAGTGTCGTCATGGTGACGTGATGTTAGTAATTGTAAAGATCCAATGTGATAAATTATTTATCTGACCTTCTTTATTGTGGCGCCTCGTTGATGCCACCTCAGTTTATATCATTGTTATATTTTGTCCCATCGAGAAGAGCTACGGTACGGCACGTAGTGTAATAGATCTGCTATTTCAGTTCTCCTGCATCATACACGTACTGAGCATCTTCCTATGGAACCTCGCGCAATATAAATGTAAATAATAATAGCACTGCATGATTTTTGTATTTAATTAAACAGCACTAAAAACTGCAAAGGTTTAGTCGACTGCCAGATCAACTTGAGTTTTTTATATGAACTGAACTGTTGCTTGGATACATAATATTTTAACTTGTCGAATAAAAAAGAGTGAACAACGGACATAATAAGAACCTCATTCATTGACTTATAGGCTATCATAATTCCATATATTTGTTTACCTTTGCAGCAGGTGCAAGAGCTAGATCTATATAATAAGTGTCAAATGCATGTATGAGGAACTGAAAAATTAGATTTTCTAATTAAAATTTTGAGGAAGAATCTTTTGAACAGCTCAGCACGTACATTCTTAGGGATGTTATAAAGATTATCGATGTAGCCGCACATTTTGTAAAAACCGGTAAGTGTGCATGTGATTCTTATTTCATATTCTTTATTTATTCATAGAGCTAGAAGTCTACCCATAATGTAAAAATTAAATCTTTCAAACCAAGTCATAAATAAGAACTTTCAGCGATCAGATGCAGCAAATGTATATGTAGCTATGTAACATGTGCTTAATTGAACTATAGAAGCTTGGCTTGGGTGTAAGCCGTAGGTGATATGATTTCCAATAATATCTTTGGCCACTTATCATTCCGGCGCCCTTTTGTACGTGTATTTGCATATATATTCTTAACTAGCTATATAGATTGCTTAGAGATCAAGTACGACCAGGTAAGCGATTTATAATATAAGCACTCTATTGGAGCACTCTAGC